TGAGGGGAAAGGGAAAAATAATACAAGGGGGAGAAATGAATTACAGTAGAGGGGGTAGAGAGAGAAGAGGGGAGGGGAGGGGAGGGGGATAGTAGAGGGACTTCTTTTTAAATACAACAACAACAAAGACAATAAAAGTGGATTCCTTTTTCTCCTCTTCTGTGTGGGATTCCTTTTTTCCTATAGTCATATCTTACTCTTTATTTGCTTTGGCAGAGTAAAAGAATGTATAGATGTGGGTGGTGCACATTTTGAAACTGTAGACATATCAAGTCCACTACTTCATGTATGTGGTATTATTTCTATTTATTCGTCTTTTTTCAGTGTTCTTAACAGTGTTCTGTAGTTTACAATATGGCAGTCTGGGAAGTGTTGGTAAGTGTATTTTCTAGGTATTTTGTTTTTCACAATAATAGATGCTTCTAAAATTTTATTTTTCAATTGATTGGTGCTAAAATAGAAAAATATAGTTTTTAAAAATAATTCTGTGACTTTACTAAACTCACATATCAGTTGTATAATTATTTTAAAAATCACTTAAATATTTTATATAGGAAATTGTCATGTGTTCATAGAGCAGTTTTACCTCTTACATTTTGATATTCATGTCTTTTTTCTTGTCTTATCAGATGGGATAGAAATTCTGTGTATATTTTCAGAAGCAGAACACATATGCTTTTAGGCACGTGCTCATGTTTGTGATAACTCCATGTATTTTGATTAGCAGTAGATTATTCCTTCTCAGTGCTTTATACTGTTCCCTTGTATGACTGACTGTGCTATTTATTTATCTACTTTGATGTTAATAGGTGTATGCATTTACAGGTTAAGGCTGTTACAAGCAGTGTTTCCATGAGCATTCTGTCTGTGGCTTTGAGTGAACATGTATTTGTATTTCTACTGGCTTTGCATTCCAAAGTAGACTTGCTGTGCCATTCACTATGAGTGTATTCTCTTAAAATACTTACAAAATGTTTTATCATTACTATTCTTCTATTGCATTTTTAATGATTTCCCAGGAAAGAGGAGATGAATGCGTGAGTTTAATTTTCATATCAAATTAAACATTAGGCGTATGCATCCCTTTCAACTTCTGCTCCTTGTATTTGTCCTTTAAACTACTCATCAGGACTTGAGTCAGAACACACATGGACTCTACTTTGTTTGTAACCAGAAGGGGATTATGACTTTCATTTCTTTATTCTTCTCTTGTCTAGTTTATTGCCCTTTCTCACGGGGTCAAGGAACCCACAGGTCTTGCCCAGGATCCCAAACTTGTATCTCAGGAACATCTCCTGTTTCTTGTTTCCTTTGGTCAAGTTCCTACTGGAAGCTTGCTTGGCCTTTACACAACTAAGGCACATGCTCTTTTGGCAGTCGGAGGCATTTCAAAGACCAAGGCAATTAGGACTGAAGAAATCCTTTCACTCCTCTGGGACTCTAGCAGCCTCCTCTGTGTTTTGCATGGAACTGATCCTGTGCAGAGGGCAGACTGAGGGATGAAATATCACTCAAATAGTTTCACATATTGACAGTGTTCAAAGGATTTCAGGAGAAATCCTTGATAAAACTAAGATTTGGGGATTTCCAGAAGAAGCCGCCTCTAATTTAACCACTATTTAAGAAGAAACCCCCCGCCCCAATTCAGGTATCTGAACTCAGAATTTCAATTATAAGGAATATAAAATGAACCCCACTGTTAAACTGAGAATATTAAAATTAATTGATTTTTAAGTCTACATTTTTCTTGTTTCCTAGACCCTGAAGAATGATTTATTTAGGCTTTTAAGTAAGGAAATCTAAACCTTTATCCTAAAACTACTACATGACAGTTAGGGCTTCAGGTTTTTTTTGATAGCCTCTCTTACCCTCAGTTTACTCTTTTATAAAACGGGGCTAATGGAATGTAGGTTAGTTATCAGGCTCCTATGAGATCAGGTAAAATGCCCAGCATAGAGAGTGTTACATAGCAAGCCTCTGTAACAGATGGTTTCCTATTATTATTTTAAGAACAGTGTGAAGTTATGTTTTCTTTGCTTTTTAAAATGTGATATTGGTGTAGAGCAACAAAACAAAGATGATTAAAAACATATCAGCAAAGTTGACACAGGAAGAACAATTGAAGAATTTCAGCCTTGGGAAATGTATGTATAAAGGATATATGCTAATGAACTTAAAGCAAAGCTTTTATTCAGTATTCAGCCTTAATATGGTTATTACAAATCTAAGGCAAAAAAAAAAAAAAAAACTCTGTCTTATAACACTGGATGAAAGTAAAGCACTAATGACCAATTGCTTTAAATATTTATAGAAAGTATCATGGAGGATGTAAGGGACAGGAAGGAGGGAGTTCCTCTGGGGATCTCCAAGGAATGCTTCACAGCCACTCTGGAATCGCCTCTACCCTGGGAATGGTCAACTCATTTTGTACTGTTGTTTCTTCAGGGAGAAGTTGGCTGTGGCCCGACTACAGAGAGAAGTTGCCCAGAGAACAAGTGAGGAGGCCATGGTGAGTCCTGACTGGTCTGAACCTCCTGTTCAGAGGTCTCTGGCTTCAAGGTCATTTTGTCCTTTTAAAGATACTAAGCAAAATATTTGTTGCAGCAAACTTAATGAGTCTTTGGTAAATGATACATTTATAGTGCAGTTTAGGCTGCTCTATCATTTGCAGAGAAAAAGAGATTAATTGACGGGAAAACTACTTGGGCTTTGAAAAAAAAATGTTCAAATATTCAAAGGCTTGTAATGCTTTATTTTGAAAAGCTCCACTGGCTGCCCAGGCTTCCAGCTGTGAGCACAAGGTCCATAAATGAGTAATCTTAGATTTTCAGATAAGGATGTTTAACATAATTCAACCCTCTTAATTCTCTGACCTTAAATAACTGAAAAAAGTACCAAGATGCTTGCTAATGTAATTGTCTTTTATTCTATTCCTTCTCTCCACTATTTGCAATATATTTCTCCCTGTCGTTTTCAGCTTGTGCCATTTAGAAAAGGGATGTTTCTTTGTGGTTTGAATTGTACTAAAAATCAATGTTGTTGTTTTGGTCCCTAGCAACTTCATTTTATAGACTGTCTTTGCCAAAGTATTTGCCCAGGTGACACTATAATATCCAAGACGACTGTCTCTGATACCCAGGGAATGCATGTGTGTAGATTAACTGCTATTGCTACCTCTGAGAAGAAAATATGACACCAAACTTATTTTTCCCCACTTATGACAAAGCAGTGGTATGTGTGTAATTTTTCAGCTGAAGATTTTTTTTTTTTTTTTTAAAGAGAACGGACACATTTTCAGCCCCTGAAAGGCTGTTTCCATTTGATTTGTGGGGGTAAATTGATAATGCATCCACTGAAAGAGTAAGAAGTTTGTGAAATATGCTGTCCTCTCACTTCTCCCAAGATTGGAGAGGCTGAATGCTAAGTGGATTCTGTAAGGTAGAGTGGCCTGAGAACTTGCCCAAATCCTAGGGAAGGTGATTGCATTGCTTGTTTTGCTATTGATCATAATGCAAAAAGAATCTTGAATGTTTAGACAATTTGAAGCAGCCACTCACAAACATTGTTGAGCAATGAAATGGAAAAAAAGTTGGAAAAAATAAAGATCTAGCTGAATGGTGAACTGAACATTTCCAATCTAGAGTTCTGGCTGCTTTTAGAAATGTTGACAGGCAAGGCCGATCTGTTAATACTTTAGTCTTCTGGGATGAGCTCCTGCTTACCACTTCATCAGCTGTGCTTGAATTGAATGTGAGGAGGTGCCTTTCCTAGGTCTCATCTTGAAAATGAGGAGGTTGAAATTTTATGATTCCCTTAGCTTAGTGGGTCATGCTGCCAAACATTTGCCCATGTAAAGGTTTTATGATGCGCAGCTTTTTTTCTGGTAATAACTAAATATTATTGAAGCTCAGAAAAGCAAAGACCTTGGAACAATGAAGTTTCACTCTTTCTGACTCTGATGTTGAATGTGCCTGATGTGAAATGATTGCAGATGGATAAATGTCTACTCTTGTACAAAAACCAAACCTTCTTTTAAAACACGTTAGAAGTAATGATTCAGTGCGAAAACAAGAGCAAAAACACAAAATCTATATACAGATAGAAAGAAGCTGACTTTGTAGAAGTTACGAGTTACCCATGTTCTCTTACTGTATTTTGATGATGTTACTGAAAATGACAATTTTATACTGATATATTAGAAAGATAATTACTGAGCAGCTACTATATGCCTGGTGCTATCAAAAACAGTAGTGATTAAAACAGGCAAAAATCTGGTTATTATAGTGCAGTGGTTGGGTAAACAGATATCCAATATGATTAAAATGTTAGCTGGTAGAAGGAGGTATGAGAAAATAAAACGGCAAAATGGGAGATCTAGGGGTCTAGGGGCTTACCATTTTAAGTAGAATATGCACAGTGATGAATCACTGAAAAGTTAATATTTGAGCAAATCTTGAAGAGGAAGTGGAATTTTCTCCCAGGGATATCTGGAGGAGGGCAGGATATCCAGGCAGGCAGCTTAGTTAATACAAAGGTGGGCCAGAGCCCAGGGAACTGTGTGGGCAAGGTTAGCTGCAAGGGATTCCAAGAGAGGGGAAATTGGAGGAGAAAGTCAGAAGAGATGGGAGCAGAGGAGTCAGCCCCTCAGGTCCCCATGAATCACTGGTGCGTGCTTTCTGTGAAAGAAATCATTGGGAGTCTAGGGACAAGGCAGTGACATGCTATGGATCAATGCCATTCATGTCCCTGTCATCTCCCATTCCATCCTTAATTATACCTCAGTTCCTTTGAGACACCATCATCTCTGACTTTCATTACTTTTATTTTCTACTCCTTTCTCATTTTTCTTTTTTTCCTTATATAGACAATCTTTTGAGTTTTGTAATTTAATTTTATGTTTCAGCTTTTCTGCTCCTGCAGTTCTTCATTTCTAAAGTCTTCGTTCTTTAAGTATCTGAGAGCTCCTAAAACAAGGCAGTTCTGTTAAATCCTTTAAATTTAATTCTTGCTGCTAGAAATTTTTCTGTGGAACTTCTGTTTCATCTTCAGCAGAAGCGGAGAGATTGTCTCAACCAGATCACCTTATGCTTTCAAAAACTACTGTTCACCATTTTCTGGTTTTCCACATGAAAGAAAAAAATGGGATGGGAAAAATATGTAAAAGGTTTACTTAAAAAGCCATATGAATGAATTGAGGCAGATATTTATTTTTTTAGAAATCATCAATAACTTTGTTATAGTGAAAGTCCTTAATGCAAAATACGCTCTTTTTAAAATTTGCTTTTATGTAATAGATCTCTTCACTTATGTTTTCAGACTGTTCCAAGGCACCATTTTGAGAAATTAATGTTTTAATAATTTCTTTATTTAGAATAATTTTAGATTTACAGAGCATTGTGAACTTGCCTACTGTTTGCTGTAACATTGACACCATTCATAACTGTGTACTACAAGTTCTGTTCCGTCTTTAAACTTCCATGTCATTTTAACGATAAAAAAATCCATTCCACCTGTTGTGGTTTGGATATGAGTTGTCCCCAAAAAACTCGTGTGTGTGTTTGTGTGTGTGTGTGTGTGTGTGTGTGCAATTCAAGAAAGTGTAGAGGAAAAATGTGCTAATCAGTGAATTAATCCCCTGATAGGGATTAACTGGGTGGTAACAGTAGGCATGTAGGGTGTGGCTGGAGGAAGTGGGTTCCTGAGGGTTGTGCCTTTGGGGTTTACTTTTTGTCCCTGGTGAGCAGAGTTTTTCCTCTTCTTCCTGATGCCAAATCTTGAGCTGATTTCCTCCACCACACCCTCCCACCATAATGTTCTGCCTGGCTGGAGCAATGGAATTGCCATCTATGGACCAAGGACTCTAAACTGTAAACCAAACAAACTTTTCCTCCTCTCCTTGTTCTTGACATTTTGGTCACATCCATGAAAAAGCTGATTAAAACACCACCCCAAGGGTACAAATTCATTCATTCTCACTATCTTTTATATTTTTACATTATATTTTTTATATTTTATATTATATCTTTTATGTCTATAATTTTTGGGTTTTTTTCTATGTAAATCTTAACAAATTCTAGGTAGTAATGCTTGGCATGATGTAAGGATTGGAAATATTTTTTTTTTAACCAAACTGATGATTAATTTTCTAGCATCATTACTGAACAATGCAACCTTTACTATCTTTAACCTTATCTAGTATTCCCAATGTTAATATTAACCGAGGTCAGCAATGGGAATGCTGATATTTTAAAGTACTATTTAAAGTACTATTATACAAACTGGTCTCCAAAAAATAAATAAATAAAAGAATATCCCCTACTCACTTTTTAAAAATAAACACATTACAAAAAAAATTTCAGGTAGTATAAAACATTCCCATATACTCCATATCCTGTTTCAGCTATTAAGACCTTACATTAGTACACTAGTACGTTTGTCACAATTAATGAGCCAATGTGATATATTGTGTTAATAAACTACATGTTTCACCAGATTTCCATCATTCTAATGTCTTTTTTGTTGTTGTTGTTGTTTCAGGGTCTCAGCCAATGACGTATGTGACATTTATTTTCATGTCTCCTTAAACTTCTCTGGGTTTCAATAATTTCTCAGATTTTCTTTTTCTTTGTTTTGGATGACCTTGATAGTTTTAAGAATAATGGTTAGGGTTTTTTTTTTTTTTTTTTTTTTTTTTTTTTTTTTTTTTTTTTT